ACAGGGTTTTATTTTCTATGAATTATGAAATTTTTCTCTTCTTCATTTGACGAATTTATAAAAGCAACAAGTGAATACATAAAAATCAAATTGATAAAGATATATAGCTGCTGATAAAATTGTTGTAAATGTCCATCGCAAAATTGTAATCGTTAAACAACACATTCCCTCTTAACAAGTTATATCTTCTGAATGCAAAATGATATCCAACGCTCTTGAGAACCATCAGACACTCGGGCAACTTCAAAACTTTCTTAAATAGTTCGGTGTTCTTATGTCTTTGGAAGAGCTAACTATGGAACTTCTCAAGTTTCTTCACTTTTCGAGGGATTCTTCAACTCGCGGTGATTTAAAAACTGTCATTATCCAAAATTTGTCTCAAATACCTTGCAAATAATTTACTAACCAACATTTCACATTAATAACTTCACTTTTCATTGCTGTCATACCTGAAATCTAAAAAATTTTATTTGTTTAACAGAACTTAATTTCTTGTGAGTCAAATAAACTCTTACATTTCCAAATATAGAATCAGGTAACATTCTAACAGCCATATTTATATTAATACGATTTTACTAGCCACCAATGACCTAGACATAACATTTTTCATTCAGCAGTCGTTTATCGACGTTGCATTTCTCTTAGGTGAAAATTCTCTTATCCGAACGCTTCCGTTGGTTCATACTCAGCTCGCAAACCCACTTACTTCACGCAACGGAGGTTCTACCGTCATTTTCATTCTGTACCTTTCATTCTTGATAATCCGATCTTGTCTGGCCAAACGGGTCCGGATGTTTGATCTAATACTGGAATGGATTTACACGTGCGAGATACAAGAATTCCCATGCGAGCGTGCAGGGGCAGACGAAGGCCGGTAGGGAACGGCACGGGGAACGTAAACACTGACTTAAATCACTGTACACGCCTCGAGAAAAGATCGAAATACGTTGTACGCCGAAGGATACCTCGGCGAACGTGGCGGAATGATGAGGTGTCGCGCTAGAATAGAGAAGGAGGACTTTCCCGGGCCGCTATTCCATCCGATTCCGTAATCCATTCCGGATACCAACGGCGTCCCGCTACCTACTATCCCCTTTTTTCGACGTCACCCTTCCACCGATCGCCCGGAGAGAACGCTTCGGGGACAGGATACAGGACATCAGTCTTTTCTGTCTTCGCTTCGTTCAGAGCTGCAGATTCCACGACGAAATTCCACTCCCTCCGATTCGTCCTCGCGTTCAATACAAGAGCGCCTATCCCGAGTTCACCCCCGGTTTTGTTTCTTCCTCTTGGGCTGCCGTTGCGTCTTGGAATCCGCGCGACAAATTCAAATATTCTCTGGCGAAGGCGACGAGGAGAAGGATGAAATAGGGAATCGGAAAAAAAAATGAGAATGGTGAAGGAAGAAAATGTAAGGATGGAAGGTTAAGTTGGCTGTGCTGACTGAGAAGCTGGAGTCCAAGATGATGAACAAGAGACAAGGTGTTGACGATGTTGGGGGATTAGGTGTGAGATTTGTGGTTACGGAAATAAATATTATTGCAAACCGAGAAGAGATAAGTGGAGAACGAAGGTAGGATAGCTAAGGGATAGAGCAACTGAAACGAGCAGGTGTGGATGATCGGTAAAACGAAAATATGAAGCAAACGAAGAGGACTTGTGTGGGAGCAACGGCGCAAAAGAGGAAGGGGTGGAAAGCTTGCGATGGAAACGGAGACTAAAATTAGAATAGGGAGCGTTGGGGTGCTCGCGGAAAGCGGTAGAAAATCGAAAAGGTGGTTAAAGCGGAGGGGCGGCGAAACGAGTAAGAGAGGCCAGGACAGCTACTTGCGAGAGGTTGGGTGTACACCGACTCGCATTCCAAGCAGACTTGGTGAACCGGGTTCATTATTTTCTCGTTATAAGTTTCTACAACTCGGGCTTGTTGTCGTAACGCTGTTAACGCGGACGCGTCGCGAATTGTTAAAGCGACGGGCGAACGATCGGCGCGCGTATATATTCGGCGGCTTCCTTAAACCCCGCGTCACGCGCCGCCCTACCACTTCGTTCCTTTTCATCCCGCATTGCACGACCGACATTCACCCTAGCCCTGCCTCCCACCGTTCCCCGCGACCATTCCCTTCGTCTACTTTCCTTTATCCGCTTTTCTTTTTCTGCTTCTTTTTCGTTTATTAATAAACGAATCACTGTTTCTTGGACGTCCAAACCCCACCGTCTGAAGGGAATTTCGGTCTACGAGTATTTCAGAGGCTTTTTGGTTTAACGAATCGAAGTGTAACTCAATTATTTTTATGTTTACGTCAGCGGTTATAGGGAGAAAATGGAATGACTTTCTTGTTTACTAATAAATGAATTATTGTTACTTAGACATTCAGTGTATTTTAGTCTAAAAGAAGGATGTTATTTTTGTATTTTTATAACTTCTTTCTTTAAAACTTTGTTCTTGGTTGGAATTATGAAAAACATTTGATGATTACAAATTTTTCAGCACTAACTGAAATTGTAAATTCATTGTAGAAGAACGTTCATTGTAAATTCACACGATCCGGCGATGCTTGAAGTTAGACCGCTCACGACTATGCGATGCTTTTCTATATTCGGCGTTATGTTAACCTTTCCAGAATATCAATAATTCTGTACTATTAAGCTTGGCCGAAACGTATGTTATGAATATGTTACAAATGCCCAGAATTCTACATCAGTCCTTTATTTTTCAGTTCCCTTTTCTTTTACTCTAATTCAAACACGAACCACACTCATACAGATCCAAAATTTGTTTATTTTTTTGGTTTCATATGACTGCAGAAGTCGATATACGATATATCAGGGATACATAACAATTCTTACAAGACGCCAGAACTGTTATAACTTCGAATTAAGTAACCACATATTTAAAAATATATATATTGCTTAAATATACTTCGAAACCCTACGATGAAAAATGAACGAAGTTTCAAATTGTTTCGTTTAACAATTTTCTTTAAAAATTTCCAGAACTTCGACATGGAATCGAGAAAAAGAAACCAAGAGAGGAAAACCTACATATAACAATGACAACGGCGAAAGACTCGATACCCGTCTCATTGTACCTTTGTGATACCCAACGGAATTATTGAACAACTTCGTGACTTTACGTACAGCCTTCGAACTTTCTCGCGAACGCGACAAAACGTTCTTCCCGAAAGTGGAGTACAACGATGAGAACAGTATTACCATCTTCTGTTAAAAACTATTTCTCACGATGTTACTTTTAATACTAACTTTTCAAATCATGTTAAACAATCAAATTAAACAAAACAATGTTGATTTTAAAACCAAAGCTTTCCGGATCCGATATTAATACAATTTTCAATTATAATAATTAGTTTATCAGTTCGAGAACGATATAATATGATAATATATTCGATCAAAACTTGTCAGTATTTTACTCGAAGCCGAATTAATATTCATAGGATGTCTCTGTAAAGACAGCTTGTTATAGACATGCAAATATTCAATAACATAAATTAATAAGATTAGTTTAAAAAGACCTTCCCAATTTAATTTCTTCAATGTACAGTTTACATTAAGAATGATTTCCTCTTATAGCTCATACTTATTGAAAGTCTGCTTATATCTGACCCGACTGCACCATAAATGATATCACCAGACGAATAAAAATTCTTAATTTCAATTTAACTATATTACACATGAATTATAAATACGTGCTTAGATAAGTAGATAAATAAATCGTATATTTTCATTTCATAAATACTTATTTTATCATCCAACAAATCGAAAAAAATAAGTTAAAAAAAATATAATAAAAGTTTTATATGCAAAAGTGAGTTCTTGGGAAAAGTTCAACTATGAAAATTTATCTGATACGCTTCCATTGATGTTCATACGACACGGTAGCAAAATTCTAATGAATACTACATGTACTTAAAAATTTTTAACATTCGATTATTTCAGAAACGAAAGTATTACATTAAGAGGTTTCATATCGTATATTCAACTTGCTTCTAGCACGAGTTACAGAACACCCTGTATACAACTATTATATAGGCCACATATCGATAAGAGGCATTCGCAATAGTGGAAAAGTTGTAAACAAATAATTGAAGGGAATTGAAACTGTTGAAATGGTGCCCGGAACGGAGCGGCGCGATTCGGTTCGATTCAGGCGGTGCAAATGAGTGGAGCGATATTAAAATCTACGCGGGCAACAGATGGGCCTGGATAGCTTTACGGTGTGCGAGCCAATAACGAAAATCATTAAATTAGCTTTAACCGCCGGTGCGCGGCGTACAGTTAACAGCGTACTAATTTTATTATTTAGAGTCTCGCATAAAAATCTCGAAATTCGGCTCGTTAGTTTTTCCGTAGAAGCAATTCAGAGTCTTTCCTCCAGACACGTTCGACCACTTCAGTACCTTTTATTTTAATTTAATTTTCGCGCGGATAAACTTAACGCGTTGATTAACAACACGTTTCTAAAACAAAATTTCCTTTATTTAAACATGAACAATAAAGACATAGCAAGCGAAGGAATAAAATAATGCAGAAAGAGAGAGTAATTGTTATATTCGTGCAAAAAACTAAGCTGATAAATGGTAGTTCAATATACAAATACTGAGTTGTGAAAGTTAAAGTACCTCAACGCGTGATTAACATTTCAAAATAAAGCTACCAGACTGCTCCGTCGGTAGTATCCCATCTTCTATCCGTTTTCCATTTAACGGATGTTGTTAATGAAGATTTCTAATATTTCTATCATTTTCGCTACAGATTCCTATAATTAAATAGACCAAAACCGATAATGAAAAAATTTAACATCAGCGGTAAAAGATTATAGCGCCCTCTTATCAAACATTCAGGCAAAAATATAATCAACCTATTGTGATACTTACCTTAAATATGTATTTTAATTATTTCAATATTTTTGATTCTGATTCCTACCACTTATAGAGCTGCTATGCAAAACCAGCCTAAGTCGATATGACAGCGAGTGACACAAAAACAGTAAGGGTGTCCTGACACCTGAAAGCGTGTGACAAAATTTTACATTCTTTGTTATGTCTATTCTATACTTCGTCTGTGATTATGGAAAGAAAATAAAAAGGAACACGTGTTTTATTTATCCATTCGTATTTATTTGTACTTTGTTGGTATAATTGTAAGTGTTGCGGAAATGATAAGAGGTCATGTAACTTTTTGGCCGTGTGACAAAAATTGACATCAAATGTCCAGTCTATCCTGTTTCTCGTCGATGCTATCGAGTTTCTCCGTTTCCTCACAGGTAATGGTACAGTATTTAATTATGAAACGCTGTTTAGTAATCAATTGTTACATAAAGATTGTCTGTATCAGTATTATAGTTTAAATATTGCCGCATTTTCTATTCTTTTAAATGTTTTCGATTCTTCGTATAAAATAATTTCTCTCTCTTTCGTCCTTAGGCCGGTAGTAAATGATAGAGATATACATTTGTAAAGAACTGGCAACGTTGGCTGGGTATGATACCTGAAAATCCCGATAGGAGCTTCGTGTTTCTGCAAGTACTCGATTTGAGTAAATAGTGGCAAAGCCGTGGGCAATGGATGCTTTAAGTATATTAATCACAATAGGTCTCATTCACTGTTCACTATTCTTTTTTGACACAATTTTTAAGGTATATATTGCGAAATGTAAATTAACTACATCTGAAATGATTGTTTCATAGGCCTTTATAAAATTTGAATTATAAATAATATTTTTTTCCTTTCAGACATGTTCACATTATCCATACATTTACTTTTTGAAAAATACTGGTATAGAAATTCAAGTACTACGGATAAAGTGGATGACAACATCATTTAATCGTAGGATAAGAAAATGGGGAATGACACGATCCAAATTTTGGAATGCTTGGTTCAATGCAGGGGTTGTTGTTACTATTATCCTTCTTCCTGTGGCCACAATTGGAATATTAAAAATGACTTTCAATATATGGATGAATGGGCCATCACTTGACAATAATAATTCTGAACTTACCCTAGAACCAATGGTAAATTTTTGCATATATTTATAAAAATATTTAAAAATGCATATGTTTATATGAAAACATTTTATTTTGTATCAGAATTTATTCTGCAAAATTGTGAGTTCTAAATTTAATACTAGAACACAGACTTTAAACTTCTTTATTTGATATACTTTCATTAAAATTTATTAGTCATAAATCATGTACTTTTATCTTCCTAGCTACCTGGTATTAATATGCCTTTGAGTGAATTTGGATATTTTATTGTTACATTAGTAATATGTTGCGTTGTGCATGAGTTAGGACATGCATTAGCAGCAGCAAGAGAAGGTGTGCAGTTATTTGGTGTGGCAGTACTAATTATTTTCATAATACCTGTGGCCTGTGTATATATAAGTATCGTGCAACTTCGTCAGTTACCATTAAAAAATCAGTTGCGAGTTACATGTGCAGGAATTTGGCATAATGTTGTACTTGCAACAATATCTGCAAGTATTCTTATGTTGTCTACATGGCTGTGGGCACCATTCTACTTATATGGTAATGGAGTTTATGTAAAAACTATTTTACCTGTAAGTAAAAGATCTTTATTTTTTATTTCTCTAATATACCTATTCATGCTAAAACCAATTGCAATTAAATGTCAATTTCTAATTATATATTTGTTTTTAGAATTCCTCTTTACTGGGTCCATCGGGACTTTTAGATCAGGATATAATATATAAGATAAATGATTGTCATGTAAGACATAGTGAAGACTGGACTGATTGTATTTTAAACACGATAAACCAGCCTGCTCTTGGATATTGTGTTAAACAGTCACTTATTCAGGTAAAAATTTTGTACTACATGGTTTATTCTATAATGTAGAGTTATTGATTTTTTATTTTAAATATAGGAGTATGATGAATCGATTCCATCTAGACAGAAATCTAATGGTGCTGTGAATTGTTGTACATCAGACAGTGAAGCTAGTGGAAGTCTGTGTTTTGAATACATTGAGGGACCACAAGCTGCTCCTCTTCATTTACCTCCACACTCTTGTCTTCCAGTTAGAACTATAACTAATCACTCACAAAATTACTGTCATGCAAGTAACGAATGTACATTTCATGATACTCATTGTCTGAGGCCTTCTCTTGACAATATTAGTAAGGTACGTATAGCTCAGAAATTTATTTATTTTATTATTTGATGATGTTATAATTAAAGAAACATTGTAGATTGTTCAGATACAAAGAATACAAGGAAAGGATGTTCTGTTTTTTGGCCACCCAGCAGATATTTATCATACAGTTGATGTATCTGATTGGATACCTAAATATTCCTTTCTTAATCCTAAATTACCAGAGGCATTAGTGATTCTTTGCAAGTATATTACTATGTTTTCTGCAGGACTAACAATTGTTAATGTTCTGCCTTGTTTCTTTCTGGATGGGCAATACATTATAGATGCATTTGTATCTTATTTATTAAAATATACACGACAAAATAAACATGTCAAACAAACAATTGTAATAACATTAACAAGTATAGGTACATTGCTCCTTATTATTAATGTCTTGTATTCACTTATGAATAAATTATTATAAGTAATAAAAACAAATGTTTGTTAATATTCAAGATTTATATTCACAGTACAAAGTTACACAGTAATGAACTATGTTCATATATAACCTTAATGCCACTTTGTATCACTTATTCAAATATCTTAATAAACCTTGCAGTCTCATTTGTAGAATTATTTACATCTTTGGAACAACAAATTGGACCATATAAGAGGATTACATTATATAACATATTTTTCGTGTTCTTCGAAGATAATTTTTTCTTTTGTTAAAAATAATGTAATATGTAAAATCTATTAGTTTCCAAATACAATATAAAAATAAAACTAATGCTACATTCTGGTAAAAGCAAGTAACCTTTATGTTTTTATATTTAACAGAGTGTCATGATTATAAAATTTAAGATTGTGGGCAAGTGAATAATAATTACATACCTATATTAAATACAATTAATAATGTATTTTCCTTATATTAATGTCTATTGTAAGGTTTCTATATAGCTAGTAATTCCTTATTAGTGATATAATCAAAGTGAATATATTTAGATGTAACAGAAAATAATATTATCGCTTTGTTGCAGCATCTGCATCCAATGCTACAAAATAACAAAAAATATTAGCATAGTATTTTATAAGTTTTAGTTTCTTTTTTTTTATTTAAGCATATTACAATTAATCACACAATAACTAACTTACCTTTTCCATCACAGGCAACAATCTTAACTTTGTCAACCATAGCAACTTCTTGAACTTCTCGAAATTCTACATCATTTAGCATAAAAGTCCATACATTATCACAAAATCTATATGTGTTTAATTTAGCAGCCTAAAAATTTCATATAAATAATAACAATCATAACATGATGTACTCAATTTACATAAGTTTTACTAGATATATAAGTAGAGGTATATACCTTAAATGAAAGTCTTGATTTAACTTTGGTTGCAAGTGCCTGATTTATTGCCTTATCAAATTGCAATAACACTTTAATTGCTAACTGTGGTGTGATTTGTCCATACTACAAAATCGTATTATTTTGTAATTTTAAATAAAATGTATTTATAGTATTAAAAATATTGGAGTTTTTATCAGGATTTAAATTGCTCATGTATAAAATTTCATATTTAAGTGACAAAAACAAATATTAAACATGTTAAAGAATGTTTTTATAGCTTTACGCGTAAAGTATATGATAGTTACGTAAACTCAACATTTGTTTTATATAAAAATTAACATATTATTATTTATATTCAATATTTACCAAGAACTCTAACCTAAATATTAGACAATTTTATGTAAACGTACCTGAATCAATTCATCGAGACTTTCTTGCAATGTATTACCTAACGTCGTATTTCGATATAATTGATAAGACATTGTCCTTAAGGTACGATAGATAGATTAATAAAATAAATCAATGCTGATTAACGCAAAAGTAAACTTCATGCGTAACAAAAACCTTTTCTCAGCGACGTTTGTTGATTAACTGTATTACTAAACGAAGGTGCTGCGGTACCTTGTCATATACATGAACTAATCGAAGCATACAATGAAAATGAAAACCGGTAAATTTAAATTTAATAAACAATATTTCAAAATGTCTGTTTTTCTATACTGCAAAAAAAATTTATTTATAACAAGTATTACTGTATTCTATAATATTTTCGAGCACTTATTTCACATGTTCGATAATAACTTTTGCTAAACTTATTCCTACAATTATATGGAATATATGAAATAATTTGTACAGTGACGTCAGTAAAATAATGCATGAATGTGAAATGGAACACGTAGTAAATGAAATTACCAACTGTGTATAGTATCAGTTATTTAAAATTATTGATGTGAAAAAATGATGTTTTTCATTTATATGACGAAGACTCTTCATGGGTATTTTTTTAAAAATGATTTCGCTAATACATATGAATTATTATAATGTATAATATATTATAAGATTCTTACATTACTGAGTGAGTACAAACGAATGTTAAGCAACTTTCTTTCTCAACGAACGTTTAAGTGCATCGTATGTAACAAATGAAATGGAACTAAGGTATCGTCTATGTAACAAAGCTATGTAAGAAAGAATTTTCATCGACCAGTCATGTGTGCAACACGTATACCTTGTGAATCTTTGATAACTATTTGCAGATGGTCAATACGGTAGGTATCTGTAACACCAGCGTGGTCTACCACCCCTTATCCAGCGAACTTTCCAAATGGACACGTGTTGCAACACTGTGGGGCGTCTATTACACTCTCCCACCACTTTCTGCGCAAACAAATCAAAATTCAGACGGAAATTTCAAAACTTCAGTGAAACAGAAGTTGTAATGTGCGCGGTTTGTTCGCTGGTGTCGTATCAATTATAGTGATTCACTTATTTTATGGAATAAGTGGCATGGAACTATCATTGCAAACGGTCTGTGGAATATCTGTATGAAAAATCATTTTATAAGAGACTCAAGACTATTAAATACTTTATTTTTGATTCCGACGTTCACGCGTGACCATCACACTTCAGGATTTTATGTGATCATACATTGGGCATCTTATGAAATGTGACTTCAATACTAAATTTATGAAGTGGTAATTTGCCTTGCTGCTTTATGTATAAAGGTTCAGTTTGGTAAGTATCTTTCTTTCAATTTTGCCTATGTATTCTATATCACTTGTTTGTATTATTTTCTGTATTGTCGGTTGAACTCTATTTCAGTTTCCCGGTTATTTCATATATTGATTTTCCATTTCGGTAACCTAAAATTCTTAAGAATGGAAAAAGAATAGAATACAGCATAGACAGATTCCACATTTGAAATTTAAAATTGAGAAACTAAATTCGTAATTATACATTCGAAATGCAAAATTCAATATTTGAATTCATAGCTAATAAAAATTAGGTTTTTCATAATACGATGATGATTATTTTAAAATTTTGTACCGATAATGATTTTTTTCTATTTTTATTAACGTTACCCTTGTACTAGGTAGAAATCTAAAGTAGCACTCTGTTATCGTTAGTATTTGTATTGCACTTAGATTTTTATTTTCCTTACAGGATTTTAACAAGTTTCGTTATACCAAGCAATGTGCACCTATAATTTAAAAGTTGTACCCCCTTCTTTTATGATTGCTCGACGTTTCAAAACTTGACAAATTACAGCTTTAATAGCTAGACTAGTTTCAGGTCGTAAAAGAGCAATTGAACGTCTTTTTAAACTCGTTATAATAACCTACCTCTTATACGGGTTGTTAATATCCCGTAACTTCGTCGTTCACATTCTTGTGGAATGAAAAGTTTCAATTGAGTTACAATAATATGTAGTGAATCAACTATTACCCAATTTCAGCGTGTTTAGCCTTACCAGTTTCTTCTCTAGTACTCCGTTCTGCTTCATTCTTCCTAATTTAAATACGAGATTCGTGAATCTTTACGCAATTTAATTAAATAATTGCAACAACGTTTCGCGAACAAAATCGAATAACATTTTCATCTTATCGTATATGTATAAATTCTCCGTAGAATGCGTTGGTAATAATATTTTCATCGCGTCGTCGTGAAATTATCAACGAATCTTGCTCCAATCGAGGAATAACGTGCATACTTACATACATATATTATTAGTATCCTCGTTATTGTCGATACATTAGCAATGCGATTGTTTGAAGTTCTATTCAGTAGATTGAGGTAACTTCATCTCATTAAATCAGGCAACCTGGTGGTACGTATAAGGGGAAGCCTTCTTACCGCTCGGTAAGTTTAGATGCCCAAGTAATTACGAGTGAAAACTTCGGCGCGCATGCAAAACTTTTCTCGGTAAACCGAAAGAGGTACAAAGTCTCTTGAGCCGGAAATGAATAGGCAGTTTCCATGAATTTACCCCGCGAAAATTATACCCGGGTTCTTCCGCGAGTTGCACGTTTCTTCGCAGATTTATTATCACCGGGTTGGCTCTTGAAACGGTGCGCTGGATTCGAATAGAGTTAACGTAACGAACGACGATGAACCCATCCACTTTGGGCCGGTGCAGACACTTGAGATTCGATCAAAGGTGTGAACTCTTTAGATGTCCGGGGCGTTTTTAATCCTTTGAATAAACGATTTACGCGGCGATCAAAGGTGTTAAAAGAGACACTTGAACAGAATGGAATCGCCAATAATATTTTATTAATGGAGGTTATTCAAATTTTTTTCTTGCCGATCACCATCGTCGTGCCGTTTACATTCCTCTGAATAATCTATTCGCTACTCGCCGATTAAGTTTCACAGCGATTCAAATCGCGGACTGTTGATGTTCGAGAAAGGGACGCACACATTCCGTCCGATTCTTCGTGAACTCTCGCACACTAGTCCGCGCCATCTCAATGGGACCTCTCGGCTCGGAGCAAAGCAAAGGTTAATTAAGTCAATGACGCGAATCTGTGACGAGCGGGAACGATAGATGGGACGCGAAGAAATAGTAATAAGGGTGGAAAGGTAAAAAACCCCGGTAACGATGACTTAAGTATAAGAAAAACGGATCACATAAAAATCACAGATAGTCGGTCTCACCGACACCGTTGAAATTAACGACGAGGCTTTACCGATAATAACAATGATCGATGTTCATATTCTCTGAACTATACATGCAATTGTATAGATCTTGAAACTGATATCTCCTCACGATTTACTATAGACGAATATAGTATTCACAATGATTTGTAACCGATTAACTCCTGTCGACAAAATTACCAATTGAAATTGATATCGGTGAACATTCATTAATCAGAACAGCGTTGATGATCACGACGCAACACAAAAAGAGCGATCACGTTTCGTTTGGAATTGATCTAGGAAAAACCAATAAATAAAGTAGAGCAAACCTTTGTAAGAGCAATATAGAGATGAAGTTCGAACCCGCGAAGCGGTCTCGGTTGTGCGATGAGACGAGCTAGGGTTGGCTAGGTATCGAAATTCGCGTTCTCTTGAAAGTAACGAGACAGAAGAGGAGAAGGAAATGAGAAAAGTGGAAGAGATTTTCGAGAATCGCGGGTAGAAAAGAAGATAAGGTCGCGATGTACACAATGGGAAATACGTATAGTCGGATTCGAGGTCCGATTCGGTGGAAGAGGACATTGAACAGAAAGGGTACACAGCATTAGAACGGGATAGCGGCATCGATCGGATTCCGTTGCGTGGGAGTGCAATGAAAAGCATCTTTAAGAGTAGTATAGCGATGTCTCGGGTAGGGGTTGAGGTTGGTTCGGAGTGAAGGTGGGTTGAAGGGAACGCGTGGATCGGCGGGCGGGAGAATCCACGAGACTATTTATATAGCCTGCCATCCAGAAACTTTGCAAGAACAATTTATTACGGATATACGTACCATTTAGAGACGCCGAAGTTATTATGACAGAGAAGTTTATGCGCGATAAAGGGAGCGGGTGACTTCGTTATTCAATCGATGGAAGTGGAGAGAGTGCTCGGTATAATGGGGGAGCGTCTTTCCGAGAACGTTTCCTTCTTCTGAAACACGACGAGGCTGCTCTTTCGGATATAGATTTGGGGAACTCTCGTTAAAGAAGCTGGGAGCAACATTCGCATTTAAGTTGATCTCTTTAAAAAAGTTTCCTTGCCTTTATGTTCCCGGTGAACGGAGGGTTCCGTTCCTCAAGGGGATCTTCTGGTCTAGCGGCAACGAAATTTACTATTTGTACAAAATTTCTCGTTACATCAACAATCAAATCTTTGAAGTATTGTAATATAATTAGTAACGACGAATAATTTGCGTTCCAGAAATATTTTCGCGACACTTGAGGTTGATAAAAACGTAAGTATACATTGATTACTTAAAAAAAAGTTCCGAAATGTTTCGCCAGAAAAATACCTCTAGGTATCGAAATTTGGACATTATAAGGTTGATTTAAAAAAAAATTCCCTTCTTTCTATGTTCCTTTGGTGTACTTCGTTTTTCAAGAAATCTTAGTGGTTCGAGTACGGCGCACTCGTGAACCACCGAGAATTTTTCTTCGGTTAGGGGAATGTAGCACGTCGGGTACAGTCTGAAGTGGGAGTTACGTGTTTTTGCGAGCAAGCCCCGTCCGTTAGTCGATAAAAACGTAAACGTGGTTCCGGCCCCGGGTCGGCAGATTTGGAAAACTGTTCTCCTTTCGGTCACGCGTCACTTACCAGACGGGTTTAGGGGCGCAGTGAAATATGTAGCCTCTTCCCGAGTCATAGTTTATTAGATTTTATCCGCGTCGTTTAATGGCGGAATGATTTTCGCTTAGTCTCTGCCCAGCAAAAGGGTAGCAAAGAATATTCAGAGGCGGTGTTAGTTTATAATTCAAACGGTTTAAATGTAACTCGAGCGCAAGTATCGCTGCTAAACGCATAAAGATATTGCAATCGAATAATGTTTTCTTAGAGACAACTCATAACATTTTCCGTGAACAAAGGAAGAATATATACTCTTTTGAGAGCATGAAAAATCTATCTTGCTCTTCTTCACTTGTAGCTCTTTTTAACTG